GTGCTATATCACAGGTATAGGTCGGTTTTTGGTGACCTGAATGTTTTCCCCCTAACTCAGGTATCCACTATATTGGGGAACTACTGGATCATAAGCCATTTCGTTGTGTGGTTGACCAGTTGACCAATGGGCAGTTGCAGTGGGACCCGCTGGAAAACCCCTTTGACAAAGTGGTCCTGGGTCCACCAGAAAATTGGCGCATATACCCCATCTACAGTGGAAAGAAACGCTACATTGATGAACTGAAGAAGTGCTTCCCAGGGGAGGAAAAGGCCATTGACGAATATGTGAGGCTTTCTAAGGTGAGAAACAAGGATAGTGTTTAGTAAGTTTAGGAGTTGTATGTCAGGTGTCACTGCACATGCTGTTCATAAGTACCGCATATTATATTAGAATATACACTAACATTCAGAAGTTTGGTGTCTGGAAGACTTTTAACGTTTTCAGTGTCTCTTACAGGAAAAGCAGTGATTTGTAGTATTATAGGTGTTTACGGTTAAAAGTATTAATTTCTTAAAAAATCTTACTGACCCCAAACTTTTGAACGGTAGTGTAGATTTAGTCATTCAGTACTCTGAAAATCTAGAGGATTTGAATGTGCTTCGGTGTTAAAAGTTGAAATGTTTTTATAACTGTATGTAGCTGTTTGCATGACCTTTCCCCTACAATCATATCCACAGACAGGCACTCATTCAAGGGCTTGCGACTTCTCTCTAAAGGGGGAATGAGGGCACTGCATGCTTGCACATGAGCTTACATCACTTTCATTAACCATTTCTTCATTAACTATTAACCATTTCATTAGTTACAAAGACTAGACTTAGAAACTGGTTAGACCTGAAATCCACTTTTGAAGAACACGCATTAAAGAGCTTCCAGGAGACATGGAGTAAAACAAAACTTAACGCTGATCTTTAATGCTCTTGTCAGAAAGTTGCATATGGCATATGGTTCATGGTCCTGCTGAAGCTCCTCCCGACTCCTCTCGCAAAGTTCCTGGTGCGCACAGGCCTGGCCAGTCGCCTTTCTTCATTCTTCTGCTATGCGTCCCGCAGCCTGACGGATGTGGTGAGTGAGCTCACACAGAATAAGGATCTGAGAGCTGTGATGTCCTACATCTTTGGGACCTACGGTGAGATGATCCAGTTCTCTGACTTGACTGAAATTTTGTGGTTTCATGTGTTTCCTCTCTATTTCTAGCAGCTACTGACCTTCTTAATTTTTTTGTGTTTGTGTTTAAACAGGTAAAATGCCCAAAGATGCAAGCTTTTCCTTGCACAGTTTGCTTTTGTTGCACTATTTGAATGGTGCCTGGTACCCAAAAGGTGGTGCTAGTGAGATCGCCTACCACATGATCCCCATCATTGAGAAGGCGGGGTGCAGTGCTTGTCAGAGCACCTGTCAACCGCATACTCCTCAATGACGTGAAAGAGGCTATTGGTAACATTTAAGGCATCTTCACACTTCACACACTATGTTTTAGAAATGATCAAATTTAAAGCCAGGATTTGATGACTGGGCTGTTTTGTTGGCACTGATGCAGGTGTGAGTGTTCTGAAGGGGCAGGAGGAGGTGCATGTTCACGCTCCCCTCGTGATTTCAGATGCTGGAATCTTCAATACCTACGAACGTCTCCTGCCCAAAGATGTGCAGACTATGTCTGGTGAGAGAGAGCCTACGTTTATTCTGCTTTTTAGGAAGAAGATTCTCAAAGAGCTACTTGATGTACTACTTATAATTATAGTTGAAAATGTTTTTTTTTTTTGTGATGATACTGTGCAGCGATCCAGAAACAGTTGAGTATGGTGCAGCATGAAGATGGTGGTCTCAGTATTTTCATTGGTGTGGATGGGACAAAAGAGGAGTTGGGCCTAAAAGCAGACAATTATTTTATCTTCCCGGAGAACAATTTGGATGAACTGTGAGTGTGAACCTACCTTTACTAAATATTATGCAAGTGCTTGTTAATTTCTAAACCTCTGTCCACTGTAACATCAGCACTGCTCTCATTTGTGTTCATGTCTGCTGTTCTTACAGGATAGATGGTTATATGAAGGGGAACAGGGAAGAATCTTGTAAAAAGGTCCCTATTATTTTTGTGGCCTCACCTTCTGCCAAAGACTCAACCTGGCCAGAAAGAAGTCCAGGTAGAGAGAAAAGGAGAAGATAAAACGATGTCTTGTTCAAATCTGGAGTTAAGATTTGTTTTATCTCATCACAAGTGGACAAACCTGTAATTATAGTCCAGAGTGTTTTGAGCTTGTCCGCATTTGACAACAGGAATGCAGTGTGGTTGAATCCGTTATTAAAGGTTCTCCACTAAAATAACTTATTAAATTCAAATCCAAATATGCTTCACCTACAGGTAAATCCACCGTGTCTGTTGTTAGCTTTGCTAACTATGCATGGTTTGAAGAGTGGAAAGATGACAAAGTAAATAATAGAAGCATAGATTATAAGGAGCTGAAGGAGGCGTTCATCAACAGCATCTTAGAGGCAGTGACTGAGACCTATCCTAAGATCAAGGACAGGGTATGAACTCTCTAAACAGGGTCCTGCTTTCATCAAGTAATGCACACCCTTTTTGTGTTTATTTTTTTATTTTTCCTTTTTCTTTGTCTCTCTCTGTCTGTAGCTTGAATATGTGGATGCAGGCACCCCAATCACCAATCAGCATTACATTGCCGCTCCTGAAGGAGAGATCTATGGCATTGATCATGATATTGCTCGCTTCAATGTTGAACTAAACGCCACCATCAGACCTCAGACGCCCATTAAAAACCTCTTCCTCACTGGTGAGTTTGTCTTATGCAAATTCATATGTATGCCATCCAAAAGTAGATTTCGAGGTACATTCCATGCCTTACATTTTTGTATTTGTTTTAGCTGATAGTACCTGATGTCTAGAATGAAGAATGTGTAAAGTGCTATGGTTTTATCACAATTCTCTTTCAAATCTGGACTTTGCTTACAGGTCAGGATGTAATGTTTTGTGGCTTTGCTGGAGCGCTGACAGGAGCGCTGACATGTGGTTCTGTCATCCTGAACCGTAACCTTCACCTGGATGCCATTGGTCTCGCCAAGAGAGTCAAGAATGGCAACAAGAAGAAGAAAGAATAAGTATCAGTAACACATAATGTTCATAATCATTCCCAGAGATATCAGATATGGCTCTGGAGAAGAACAAATGTAGGATATGTGTGATTAATAACCACTGCACTGCCTAACAATAATGCGCCACTGTATTTGTACCTAATCGTTTTAAAACTCATTTATTGGTAAAGTGTTTACCAAGTGCCTTACTGGTTTAAAACTCAACTATACAGTAATTCAAATCTAGTTTTTAATGCACTTAATAGGGAAATGAATCCAATTCAGTTGATTTAATTTAAATGGTTTTATTGTAAGCTGTAAAAAAAAATGCAGAGTTTTCCCATTAACCTTCTTTTTGAAAGGTTTATTGTGTAAAAAGCAGAAGACATGCTTGGCACTGTGTATTTTGGGGGTTTTGTAACTATTAACTGAAATCTTAGTTGCACTTAGAATTGCTTAATTACTGTGGATATAGGCCTGTAGGTCTGTATACAGGGTTTACATGCATCTTTCTCAAATTATATATTTGAGACGCTCTTTGATGATGTCATCTGCACAGTTATCCGTGTGTTTTTCTGCATTTTTAAGTTGCAGTCATATTTCAGACTGGTATAAATATGCCTATAAATGTACTTATTAATATACAATGGATGCTTGTGCATACTGAATAAATGTTCATTTCAACAACAAATCACTGTGTGGTATGTATCAGGTTTAAAATCAAGGGGGCAGTGTGGCTGAAAGTCAAGTCTCAAAATGGCAGATACTATATTTAATGTCTCTTTTCTTATCTACCCTGCTGAAAAAAATTAATTATACTTTAACAGGCCTAAACAAAATTGTTAAATATTACATATTTTGCATTTTTAAAATGTCTAAGGTCATTGCATGGTACAGTTTTTTATTTTTTTATTTTTTATTTTTTTTATTTGATACAGTATATGATTTATTTTTGCTGACATTCACAGTGCATAGATGTACAAAATCGTTTCACCTGGGAGTACGTTTTCTTGAATAGTTGACCTCACATGAGATGGGGGATATCCAGAAAACAATCCTGGGCTGCTCATTGGTTGGTTTTGCAGATGCAAATCTCACACCCCTGCATGTTGTGAGGTTTTATTAAAATTATGGCAAACAACGCTTATTGATCCGTCTCATTGATCCAAATTAGTTGGCAATCATTTTCTTGCTCAAGGTTTTGGATGACACTGAGAGAAAAGGTAAGTTAATTTACTTAATTATAGTTTTATATTTTCGAAAGAGCGTAGCCATATGAACAAGTGTCACAACGTGCACGCTTACCGCGGTATTAAGATAAATTGTCAATAAACACCATTTTAATGCGAGATGTATATCTTTGTGTTTTGGATAAATCTCGTGTCATCGGTGATGGCTTCTGAAGTTGGGTCTCTTGAAGCTAAATGGAAAAGTCAAATATTACAGGTTCCAAATCAGATTAATTTTAATGTTCAAACGAATTTTAATCTCAGTAAAACCATGTGCAAACTTTTTTTTTTTTTTTTTTTTTTTTAAGTTTAAAAAAAAAAAAAAAACTCTAGCTTTCTATTCTACTTGTTTTTCTTTGTTTGTGTATATATATATATATATATATATATATACACACACAAAACCCTTTTCAAATTTTTTTTTTTTTTTTTTTTTTTAAGTTTACGAACAAATCGTATGTCGACGGGATGTACGTACGTCGAAAAATCAACATTCATAAATATTTGTTACATTTATGTAATTGTTTATTCATTCATTTATTTTTATTTAACAGTTATTTTAAGTAATACAGTCCAATGTAGAGTTGAAAGCGTTTTAAAAAGCTTTGTCCGATTTTCTTAATCTTTTTATTCAGCACCCAGTGACTTTCGTCTCTTGCAGTAACACGCTCTGACAGACTGATCTGATCTAAACATGGATGACAGCTGTTGTTGGGGGAGCTCAGATTATGAAATCTTGGCAGAAATCGGCCAGGGCGCCTACGGGAAAGTGTACAAAGCCAGAGAGAGGCGCGGGCAGCAGCGCTTCGTAGCGGTGAAGAGACTCAACATCCCCGAGGAGCCGGAGTCTGGCATCCCTCAGTTCGCGATACGAGAAGTGGCTCTTCTGCGAAAAATAGAGCACTTCAACCACCCCAACATAGTCAAGTGAGTATGGAAACGGTCAAAAATGCCACATACGTTTTGAAAAGCATAATGAATTTTCAGTTTGAGTATTATGACATTTCGCTTTAGGTTGCTGAATGTATCAGCTGGATGGCAAAACCAGAAGTTTGACCTGACGCTGGTGTTTGAGTATATCGATCAGGATCTGACCACATTTCTCAGCAAAGTATCAGAAAAAGGCCTGGCCAGAGACAAAATCAAGGTTTTAACTTTGCTCCTCTCATTTTGCAGTGACTTAATCTTTCATATAAAATAGTAATAGGGAAAACCTGGGCTATTTTCACAATTTTACTATAGTAAGGGTTTCATTTTGAAAATCAATTTCTGCATAGACATATGTGACCCTGCACCACAAAACCAGTCTTAAGTCGCTGGGGGATATTTGTAGCAATAGCCAAAAATACATTGTATGGGGTCAAAATCGTCAATTTTTCTTTTATGCCAAAAATCATTAGGACATTAAGTAAAGATCATGTTCCATGAAGATATTTTATAAATTTCCTACCGTCAATATATCAAAACATAATTTTTGATTAGCAATATGCATTGCTAAGAACTTCATTTGGACAACTTTAAAGGCCATTTTCTCAAATTATTATTATTATTATTATTTTTTTTTTTTTTGCACCCTCAGATTCCAGATTTTCAAATAGTTGTATCTCAGCCAAATATTGTCCTATCCTAACAAACCATACATCAACGGAAAGCAATTAATTGATGATCAATTTATTCAGCTTTCAGATGATGCATAAATCACAATTTCAAAAAATGTAACCTTAATGGTAATGGTGATTTTTGTTTAATGGTTTTGTGGTCCAGGGTCACATATCTGAAAGTCTTTGCTACAAAAAAGGCATTGTACACTGCCACCATGATAGCCCATTAAAGAAGATACAGAATGAATACATACACCTTTAGTGACAACATGCCCCAATGAAGAAGCATATTGTCACACTGTATGGAATAAATTAAAGACTAGAGCATAGATTCATGTGTTTTTTCCTTTCTCTTTATATAGGATGTGATGCGTCAGCTGCTCAGCGGACTTGACTTCCTCCACACTAACACCGTCATTCATCGGGACCTGAAGCCAGACAATGTGCTCGTGAGCAGTCGAGGGGAGGTTAAGATTGCAGACTTCGGTTTAGCCAGGATATATACATACCATATCGCCCTCACCCCATGTGTATGGAGCTCAGATTGACGTTCACAGAAATATGTGAGGTGGTAGTGAGCTACTGCATGTGATGTATTTGTATTTGAATCTGTGTAGGTTGTGACTCTGTGGTACAGGGCTCCAGAGGTCCTGCTGCAGTCCAGTTACATGTCTTCAGTGGATATGTGGAGTGCTGGGTGCATCTTTGCAGAGCTCTTTCTGTTAAGGTGAGAGCAAAACAGAGCTCAGAGAGACATTTTATACAATGGACATCAAGTCACAACTTGACATACACTACTGTTCCAAAGTTTGGGTTTAGAAGTGAGATTTTTTTTTTTTTTAAGAAATGACAGTAATAACATTTATATACTGTTACAATATATTTCTATTTCAAATAAATGCTGTTCGTTTGAACTTATATTCTTTGAAGAATCCTGAAAAATGTATGAAGTTTCCACAAAAATATTAAGCAGCACATCTGTTTTCAACATTGATAGTTATAATAATAATAATAATAAATGTTTCTTGAGATGCAAATCAGCATATTAGAATGATTTCTGAAGGATCATGTGACACTACAGACTGGATTAATGGCTGCTGAAAATTCAGCTTTGCCATCACAGGAATAATTGTATTTGAAAATATTTTTCAATAACATCTCACAACATTGCTGCTTTTAATGTATTTTTTTATCAAATAAATGCGGCCTTGCTGAGCATAAGAGACTTCTTTTCAACTTCTTACAAACAACTTTTCTAATTCTGAGATGTCCTATCTTTCTCTCTCACCTTTTCTTCAGGCCTTTGTTTCGTGGATTCACAGAGATCCAGCAGCTGCAAAAGATCTTTGAGTGAGTCAAAATACTTTGCATTTTCAAATCCCAGTTAGTGTTATTGCAACCAACAACTACACCTGTTTGTGGTCATTTGTGGTCTTGCATGTTCGCTCACTCTCAGGGTCATTGGATTGCCGGGTGAGGAGGACTGGCCCATAGAAAGCCCTGTCTGCTACAGCCCTACATGGGCTGAGAAAAAGCCTACAAAACAACTACTGCCCAGTCTCGCCCATGAGGAGAATGACCTGCTGTCTGTAAGTGGTATTTATTTCTATACGAGAGAGATTTTAGTGACTGGTACACAAAATACACATATAAATAACTTTTCTTGTTTGAAACGTCCCTTTCCACACAGCAATTTTTGACTTTCAGTCCAGCTCATCGTATCTCTGCCTGCAGAGCTTTGGCCCATCCTTCCCTGACAGACTGCAACAGTGAAGATGAATGACAGATGAGTGAAGAGGGTGGAGTCAGATGATTAGACAGGCTCCTCCCACCCAAACGGGTGCACTGAGAATTATTCTGTTAAATTGATTTTTTTAATTTTTTATAATGGAGTAAAGTGCAACACCTTAACCTGTAGATCACGATTTTGTCTAATTAAAATGAGGTGCAAAAATGTATTTTGGTGGAAATGTACAATTTTACAGGTACTGCTTAAAAGAAACAAATGCCCTTAAAAAGTCCAGCTGTTTGTGGAGCTCTTGCTCCTTAATATACCATCACCTTATTCATGTGTTTACAGTGGTGAGGAGGAATGAGAATTTGTCTTTTTCACGTGTGACAACTCTCTAATAATGACATTTTGTGTATGTTGCAGCACAATTGGTTGTCTAACAGGTAAGTTTGATGTTTCCAGTTAGTTTCAGTGTGCTACCTTAGAGTTGTTTTTGAAAGTTGACTTATAGTGATGTTTTTGTGCCTTGTTTTGTGTTTGTTTTGGCATCAATTGCAAGTGTTTGCTTATTTTTAATCGCATGCAGTGTTTTCAGTTCTGAGCAAATTGTTTGAAGTTTTTATGTTTTCTGTTCCTGATGAATTTTCGGTAGACACAAACCAGAGCCAACAGTGCCTGTTTGTAATTAAATGGGCTGAGATTAAGTGTAGTTATGACATTATGCCCTTTCAAATGAATACAATTAAATCGAATTTGTAATCGAATGCACATTTGACCATTTTCTTTATACTGACACTTCAGTAATAAAACGGCAATTTCAATATTGTTTGCCACCTTTCTTCTTGATCCGCATAACAATTTCTGTTTGATTAATTTAATGCTGTTAGTAAAGAGCCATGACCACAAAGTGTCTTGCTGACCACAGTTATGGAAGTTGGCCACTGGGAGGCAGTCATGCCAAAGTATAATTGCATATGAATTTTTTATACAATAGCACATGGCCATAAATTGATTCAGTCACATGGAATGACATCTGCCATTCCCAAGCAATCTAATGCAGAGGGGTCAGCGAGTTCATTCATTATTTTCACTGAATTTTCCATTTAGTTTAAAATTAAAAGTCCACTTGTTGATGTGTAGCTGGCCCTCGTTCATCCCAGTAGTACCAGTGGTTTTGCATTTACTGACATGTCGCCTGGATTTTTGTTAGCTTGTTTACTAACAAACTACTTAGTTTTTTTTTTTTTCGTTATTATTTATTAGAAACTCCGTCATGTGATGTCAACATAATTGTGACCATGAGGGGGCGACCCGCTCCATGTAGAACGCAATGGCTTTATATGATATAATTCCTCATTGTGCTGTTCATGTTCATGTGAAAAACGTTTTAATTAGCAGGAAAATAAAAATAAAAAATCAGTGCGACCAAAAGTAGCTGTTTAATAAACTGAGCTGTTGCCCCTTAGAATGGAATGTTTCCCTAGTCAAGGGGGTATTTTTATCTCTGTCTCTCGCTCTCTCTCTCTCTCTCTCTCTCTCACACACACACACACACACACCCTAAAAGGGCTTTTCACACTTTCTCATTGGCCATTGGGGTGGTGTGTGTGAAGCTGTCAGAGCTGATCCGAGCGCACAGCTGATCCACCCGCACCGAGTAAGTACAGTCATTCATTTCTGCCGTTACATTTATCACGAGTTTTAAGAATAAGAACAGTCAGACTTTTCTATCGTTGTGAAACTTAACGACAAAACGATCAGCTTTTGAGTTCATTTCATAAAGTTGCTTTGACAGTCCATGCTAAACAGTTCAGTAGTGTCTTTCTCGTGTAATGAACTCGCGCGCTGGATTTTGCTTGCAGACCAAACAATGAGCTTTTATTGTGTTGCGGATCTTTACTGTATACAATGAGTGATATATCTGCTTCACTGTCCTGCTCACTAGATATCTGCTTACTTGTACCTATTTTCAGCGCAGCAAACGCACCTGTACACCTCAAACTCAATAACTCACTTCATCAAGTTTCTATCTATAAATGTACGCTACCGCAAATGCAAATGACTTAGGCATTTATTGATTTAGCAGAATCTTTTGTCTATGCTGAGCATTATGCAGTATGATGACTGCTATAATAAGTGATTAATGTAACACATACTTGAAGTTTTATATACAATGCATATAAATGCATTCTGTATGCATAATGCCGCAATGCTTTATAATACATCTTGATCAGTTGTATATTTGATTGAATACATGGAACTACAGATATAGTGCAGTACATTTTAATACTTCATTATTAATTGTTGTACCTTTACAGAGTATTATAGAATATAATCAGCATCCAGCTGTTAGTCTATATCATTATACCCAAGGTGAAACCAAGAATAGATATTGTCTGCAGATGTTTATAAATGCATTGAATTATAATGTGTATTATAAAATCTTATGAATACCTCTGTAATGTGTTATATGTACAGGCTTCAAATAAACTGTTACAGGTTAATATTTGTATTATTATTATTATTAAAGTTGTGGGTGACAATTACTAGTGAAGGATAATGAACATAATGGGAACATTTGAATTTCTTCCTGACTTGCAATGAGGTTATGAGTCAGACAGTCTTCATGTCTGTAGTGTGTGTGTGTGTGTGTGTGTGTGTGTGTGTGTGTGTGTGTGTGTGTGTGTGTGTGTGTGTGTGTGTGTGTGTGTGTGTGTGTGTGAGGGTTATGACTTGTCTAGCTTGTGTGACCGTGTGCTGTGTGAGTATAACCAAGGTCAAAAGCTATGTCATTTCTGTCATCCATTGCCACTATTTGTTTATTTGTTATGTTCATTCTGTTCCTGGTTAGCATCATAAACATCTTTGTGTTGTATTGTTTACCACTTGTCTTAAGACTATTACTATGTCTGTCATGATGGTGTTAAATATGACCGTGACATTGCATTACCTGATCATAGTTCAGGATGGGGGCTAGAAATGCTGGAATCCCATCATGGTTGTAGCTGTAAGTCCATGAGCTTGCTCTACTCTGAATCCTTGTGATGTAACAGGGCAGAATGACATGTAATAGGATGTGTCTTGTAGTAGTATGTCTTATTGCAAACGGAGTCTTTAAAATAGTCGTGCCAATATTTCTTTTTTTTTTTCATTTTGCATTCTTCAACCATTTGATTACGATTGATTTAACAAATATGCACACACACACCATAGACATAAGGATTTTTATACTGTACAAACTGTATTGCGTTTATTGTATTGCTGTATTGCAAAACTACTAGTGTTTTTTGAATTTCAAAAAAAACTAAAACTTTTATTATGTTTTTTTTAAGCCATTTGATTTGCAATGACAGGAAGTGTCATTACTTGTGTTTACGTTGCAATATGTCATTATGCACATACTGTTGTTCATCTATTCAAGCGCACATACACCAGAAGGTGGCGACAAGTGACTATAGGTGGCGTTCAAATGAAACAGATTGAATGAGTCTTTGAATCATTAACTCAACTGATTTGTTCAAAAACACCAAATCATTTAGGAAAAATACTCGCACTCACACTGTCCCTTCGTCTGGTTGACCGTTGAGGCGCCACAGATGCTCTGGCAACCAGCTCCTTCCATTCCTCCCTCTTCTCAGCTTTTCTCAAGGTCTCGCCCAGCGTCAGGCCTGTCCACTCCTGAAGGTTGTTGTCCCATCTCTTTCTCTGCCTGCCTCTCTTCCTCCCTCCTGGCACTGTGCCCTGCAGGACTGTCTTCGCAAGTCCTGATGACCTTATTAAATGGCCGTACCACCTCAGCTTCCATTTTTTCACCACTGTCAGGAGGTCATCATCATATGGCCCAATGGTCTGCCGAATTCTGTCACGTACTTCTTCATTGGAGATGTGATCTCTGTAGGAGATGCCGAGGAGTTTTCTGAAGCATCTCATCTCCATGACCTGAACTTTCCTTTCCAGTTCTGCTGTTAGTGTCCAAGTCTCACAGGCATATAAAAATATGGACATGACTAGGGAGCGCATCAGTCTGATCTTTGAGCTGAGGGCTATGTTCCTGTCACTCCAGATGGTCTTTAATTTTGTCAGCGCCGCTGTGGTCTGGGCGATCCTGGCGAGTATCTCAGGTTTGGACCCTTCATCCGTGGTTTACACTGTTTACACTGTCTAGCTTCTCGCCGCCAATCCTGATGTCAGCGGTGAAGCCAGTTATGTTGTTGTTAGTCATCAGTTTAGTCTTCTCCGCATTGATCTGCATACCATAGGATGTAGAGATCTTGTAAAGGCGTTCCACCAAGTTATCCAACTCTTCTTCCTTCCCTGCCAGGCCAACTATGTCATCGGCAAAAAGTACGTTCGTGATTGTCCTGCCTCCTATGCTGACTGTCCCCTCATGGTCTTCCAATGCATCAGCCATGATTCTTTCTAAAAAGATGTTGAAGAGTGTAGGGGAGAGCAAGCAGACTTGTCTTACTCCAGCTGTGGTTCTGAACCAGTCCCCTATGTTGCTGTTGAAGTAAACCGCGCAGGTGGCCTTATCATAGAGGTTTTTTATCATTTTGATCATGTTGTACTGCCTCATGGTGGCCCATAGTGCTGCATGTCATACTCTGTCGAACGCCTTTTTGAAGTCCACAAAAATGTGGTAAAGGTTTTGTTGATGTTGTAGGTATCTCTCACATATTATCCTAAGGTTGAAGATCTGCTCTGTTGTACTGCGCCCTTGTCTGAAGCCCGCTTGTTCTTCAGCGATGATCTTGTCCGCTTGCGGCTTCAACCGATTCAGTAGGATTTTTAGCGTGGCCTTGCTTGGGTGGCTTATAAGGTTGATGGTATGATAATTCTGGCAAAGTTGTAGATTGCCTTTCTTAGGGAGGATGATGATGAGATACTGGGTCCATGGTTTGGGCCATTCTCCTGTCTGCCAGATCTTGTTGCAGATATTCAGTAGGGCACTTATCATGGCATCTCCCC